CATTCCTGGAAGCAAGAACTACACTGACACCAAAACTGGAGAAGGGTCCAACTAACAAAGACAATTACAGGTCAATCTCCCTAATGAACATAGATGCAAAAATCCTCGATAAGATACTATCAAACCATCAGTAAATTATCAAGAAGGTTATACACTATGACTAAGTAAGATTCATGCTAGACATGCAGGTATGATTGAACATACATAAATCAATAAATGTAATATACCATATTAACAGAGTCAAGGCAAAATCATATAATCATCTTAATAGATGTAGAAAAAGCTTTTGACAAAGTCCAACACACATTTATGATTTTAAAAAACAACTACAGAAATTTGGAGTAGTCTTTATCTCAATCAGATTAAATCTATCTATGACAAATAAACAGCCAACACCATAATAAATGTACAAAAACTGGAAATTTTCACTCTAAAATCAAGAACAAGACTGGGATAGCCAAGTGGTTAAGGTATTGGACTTAAGATCCAATAGATGTATCTGCATGGGTTCAAGCCCCACTCCTGGTAGATGGGTTTCAGGGTTGCATTTTGGGGCAAGGGAGGTAACTCAGTAGAATAAGTACTTACCTAGCAAGAATAAGGTCCTGAGTTCAAACCCTGGTACTAGGGGAAAAAAAAAAAACAAGACAAGGATGTCCCCTGTCACCACTCTCATTCAACATAGTCCTGGAAACTTTAGCCAGAGCAATTAGACTAGAGAAAGAAATGAAAGGAAAAACAGTAGGAAAGGAAGAAGTTAAGTTATCATTGTTTGCAGATGACATGATACTCTACATAAAAGACTCTCAAAACTCCACTAAAAAAATTGCTAGATTTAATAAACAAATTTAGTAGCATAGCTGGATACAAAGCCAACACTTAAAAATCAACAGCTTTTCTATACATGAATAGCAAACCCACTGAGAAAGAGACCAGGGAAACAACACCTTTCACAATAACATCCAAAAGAATGAAATATTTAGGAATCATTTTAATGAAGGGTGTAAAAGACATATACATTGAAAGCTACAGCATTCTGAAAAAGGAAATTGAAGAGGATATCAGAAAATTAAAAGATATCCTTTGCTCTTGGTTATTAAGAACCAATATAGTAAAAAGGGCCATATTTCCAAAACTGTTATACAGATTTAATGCAATTCTAATCAAAATTCCAATAGTAAGGGGCTTGCTGGTTAGCTCAGTTGTTTAAAGTGCTTGTTTGGGCAAACTCAGTTAGACATGGGGGACCGTGGTTCGATCCCCAGCTCCACATACCACACCAGACCTGCCCTTAAGGCAGGCTGAGCCAGCCACAAAAAAAAAAAAAAGTCCTTCTGGGCTGGAGATATAGCTCAGTGGCATAAGCACCTGCCTAGCAAGTGCAAGGTCCCAAGTTCAATCCCCGGTACTGAAAAAAAAAAAAAAATCCAATAGTATATCTCAGAGAACTTGAGAAAACAATCCTAAAATTAATTTGGAACCAAAAGAGACCTACATTGGCAAAAGCAATTCTGGACAACAAAGGTAAGACAAGAGCATCACAATCTCCTGACTTGTGCTGCAACTTCTCTTGCCTTTTGAATTATGCTCTTTGTTATTTCCTATATGTTACTTCTGGAGGTATTAAAATATTTCAAGCTTGCATAACTAGAAAATCTTACTTTTAGTTTTCAAAGGTATATTTGCTAAGTGTAAAATTCAAAGAGGACATATTTTTTCTTTTCTTTGAGTCCTTTAATTAATCTAGTTTCTTACACACTTGGTCCTTTTTTTTTTTTTCTTTCTAATGTGGAATAAGGTGTTATTTAATTTTGTTCTTCCATAGCTAATATTTTTTATGTATATGCTTCAATTATTTTTTTCTTTATAATAAGTTTTAGACAATTTCATTTTTGTGTATCTTGGTATGATTTTATTTAAATTTCTTGTACAAAAGGTTCATTTTTCTTGGAAATGTGGTATTACAAGTTGAACTAAATTCAGAAATTTTAAATTTTTAAATATTTATTGCCTACTCCTTTCTACTTTGAGAATTCTAATTATATGAATATAAGTTTATTGGTTTTGACACAGTGAACTATTATGACTGATCTGTAAATTCTTTCTTCATTTTTATTTTGGACAATTTTTATTGTTATATTCATTTATGTTTGTAAATAATTTATTTCAATTTGCAATCTATTAAAAATTAAAAGAAAAAAATTTCCTCACTTGAAATTATACTATAAAGCTACTGTGATAAAACAGCTTGGTACTGGAAAAAAAATAAATAAAAAATAGACCGAAAGATCAATGGAACAGATTAGAAGATGCAGAAACAACTCCAGATATACTCAGCCAACTTATCCTTGAAAAAGGTGTCAAACACATTCCTTAGAAGAAAGCCTCTTTAATAAAAGGTGCTGGAAAGAGGGGCTCTGCACATGGCCAAAGATTGAAATTGGACCCCTATCATTCACCATGCACTAAAGTAAATTTTAAATGAATCAAAGATCTAAATATTAAAACAGAGACATTAAATCTGCTGTGTGTAGAATAGGTAAAACTCTTAAAGACATCGATGTAGGCAAAGACTTTGTGAATAAAACCTCAATTACACAGAAATTACCACAAAGAATCATCAACTGGGATCTCAGCAAAAGAAACCACCAACAGAGTGAAAAGCCAACCCACAACGTGAGGGAAAATGTTTGCCAGCTGTTCCTCAGATACAGGATTACTATCCGGAACATACAAAGAAGTGAAAAAAAACCCACAAAAACACAAAGAATCAGGCCTCCCCAATTCACAAATGGGCATGTAAGACAAATACACACTTCTTAGATAATGAAATATAAGCAGCAAACAAATATATGAAAAAATGTTCAACATTACTGGTCATTCAAGGGATGTAAAGTAAAACAACACTGAGATTCTATCTCACTCTGGAAAGAGGTGAGATTATTATTTCTGTTATCAAGAAATCAACTGGGGCCAGAGAGATGGCTCAGTAGAATAGGCGCTTCCCTGGCAAGTGCAAGGGCCTGAGTTCAATCCCCGGTTCCACCAAAAATAAAAAAAAGAGAAAGAAATCAACCGATAGCAAATGTTGGTGGGGCTGTGGAGAAAAGGGAATCCTTCTCCAGTGTTGGTAGGAATGCAGACTGGTGCAACCACTGTGAAAATCTGTGTGGAGATTCCTTAAAACACTGGGATTAGAGGTCCCATTCAACCCAACTATTCCCCTTTTAGGTATTTTTACAAAAAAATTGAAGACATCATACCACAGCAATATATGCGCACCCATGTTTATAGCAGCAGGATTTGTAATAGATCTTAGAAACAATCCAAATGCTCATCAAAGACTGGATAAAAAAGATGTTAGGGCCAGCCTGATAGCTCAGCAGACTAAAGCACCTGCTTAGGCAGAGCGCAGCAGCAGGGGTTTGATCCCCAGTTTGCGGTGCCAGCCCTGCCTGTTGAGCATGCTGAACCAGCAATTGAGGCAGGGTGTGGTGGTGCATGCTTGTAATTCCAGCGTTTTGGGAAGCTGAAAACAGGAGAATCACTACAAGTCTAATCTACATAGTGAGACCCTGTAGACCCAGTAGACCCTGTCCTAAATACAAAAAAAAAAAAAAAAAAAAAAAAAACCCAAGAACAAAAACATGTGTGCTTTTTATATAATGGAGTACTACTCAGTCTTAAAGAAGAATAAACTGGAGACTTTTATAGTGGGACATGATCAAGGCTTGATATATGCATATATGGAAATGGTACACTGAATCCGTTAATTTGCACAATTAATATTTATTGATAATAATAAAACAAAAAGAATGAAAACACCTTCAGGTAAGGTGGCACCAACAGAAAATTATTAACAAATCTACTCTTATCAGGAAAAAAATGGCAACTTAATGAAGGAGTGAATTAAAAAGCTCTCCAAGGAATAATATCACAGAAGACTATTGGTGATCTAGAAAGACTTACTCATAGACTGAATCAAGCATATCAAAAATTATAAAAATGAAGGTGAGAGGGGCTGGTGAGATGGCTCAGTGGTCTAAAGCACCTACTTAGAACAAGCTAAGCCAAGCAAAGCACAGGGACCTCGGTTCAATCCCCCAGCACCACATGCCAGCCCGCCCGCCCCCTGGTGGGCTGAGCTGGCCACACACAAAATAAATAAATAAATAAATAAATAAATATTTTTTTAAAAATGAAGGTGAGAAATATAAATTCATTGAGGAGAACATTTCAAATGCCTTCAAGCAGGATGTGCCCTACCCTTGAATCTTGAACTTGACTGCTATAAGGATTCATACGTGCAAATGAGCTTGTCCTGAACCTGAGGTGGCGTGAGTCAGACCGCAGAGTCCGTGCATGAGTCTCCCTGTAGGCTACGGACGCACTGATTACACACAGTAGCTCCTCAGGTGTGGTGCAGGTGGAATAGTAGCTTAGTGACTATGCCTGGCTAGTCCTGGCTATTAAGGCACAGCCACCCCTGTTCACAGCCCCACACCTCCTACCCATGGAAACTCAACTACTGGATATGGCCAGTGACTCCTGCACCAGCCAAGGCAGCCTGCTCATAAAACTCCTTGCACAGGAAGATGCTTGGGACCAGTGTACCATAAGCTGTAGCCACAAAGCTAAGGAGAAGGAAGTTGATGTGGGGAAGAAAGAGGAACTATTGTGAGACTCAGATGAAACTCCTGGGCCACCACCACAGTAGCATAAAATATAAGCAGCATGTGCTTCAGCCTGTAGTTGACAGTATGTTGAAATTTTGGTGCTGTATTTGATGAACAATTTTGAATTTTGTTTGTTAAGACTTTAAAACCTGGTAAGTTGAAAAAAAACCTGAGGGCAGAGTAATTTCTAGAACTATGGGTAATGTTTTGTTCCTTATATTACATACCACTCCAGTCAACTAATAATGTCCCCTGTATACATCTTGAATTATAATTTAAAATATAAGAAAAAAGTAAAAAAAAAAAATTTTGAAAGTGGCCTACCCACAACGTGTTCCATTTGTCACATTCTGGTAAAGGGAGCTGTTGATCCACACTATGGTGTTATTCACACATGCTTTTCCTGGAATCTTGAGTTCTTGTATTTCAGTGTCATACTCAATAAAAGCATCAGTCATTAAACCAAATATGAGAATCATTCCTGGCTGGGCCAGCCCATGGAGCAACGCACACAAACTCCCAACGAGCATCAGGCAGATGTCAGTCCATGTGGAGAACCGGAACTTGAAAAACAAAGAGTTCAGAGATCATCCATTACCCAAAAGCAGGTGAAGCAGGAGTATAATTTAATTTTAGTGACTGGATTTTAATAAATGTGTAGTTCTCAACACCAAATGTTATGGGAATCACCTTAGCTAAGCGGTACAGTTCACGCTCATTCTTTTGAATTAATGATTAATAATAATAATATCAATGATAATAATTAGTGATTCATTGAAATTCAAAAATTATCTAAAACATTAAACTCTTACATGGTTAGATATGGTTCTTTCTGTCCTAATCTCAAAATTCCCTTTACCTCAGAAGCTGATTTTAGTGTTTCGCTACCCACCCACGGCTCAAGGGAAATCCTCACACGATGGGTGCCACGGACAAGTGAACAGGGGCAGTGGACAAAGCAGTAACCTGGCTCTCAGGACTGGTAATGACAATGAAGAGCGCCTGTGCCTGCTTTTGCCTTGTGCAAGTTGGCAGCAGGTGGTGGGGGAATAAGTATGTAGACTATGGAATTTCTGAAATCTTTTCACAAAACTTAATATTAATGGTGTGGCTACTGTGACACTTTCTTTACTGAAATGATAACCTTGAAGATTGCTTTCTAGCAGATTTTGCTGCTCTATTGGACAGAATATGTGCGTTTAGTTAATAACAGATTTCTAACCAGTATTCAGCATGTCACCACATAGGTGAAGTTTATGACTGAGTCAGCGATCACTGATTAAACCCTACTGAGATGGCTAAAGAGTCAGCGCTTCCTTCATGCTCTGGGTGGTCCCAATGCTATACCAATCAGGAGTCTTATTACCAGTTGAAAGAAGCCAACTTGAACACCACCACCTTTCTTCTTATCTTGCGGCCTGCAAAAAGCAGAAATTTAAAGACCATCCATTCCAAAGCAGTGAGAAATTCTTTTTACGTGCTGCTTTATGAGTCATTCTTTAGTAAGAAAGCCCCATTGGCTGGGAAATAATGCCCAAACTCAGTATCTTGAAAATAGCCTTTTATTCTTATAGAGATTTCAGTAGAGCTATTTGTTACATTCAGTAGAGATTTAGTTAAGATTTTGTTATTGTTGTTGGAGAGGTACTGGGGGAAATTTTAAAGTCCTTGGTACTTCCAATTATGCCAACCATTAGCTATGGCCTTCAGCTATGACCCTTGGCCTACTTATATTTCCTTGTGGGTAAAGTAAGGTGATTAGTTGATGTGAAATCTTCCTTCTAGTACTGGTAAGCTTGACAATCACATTAAATAGTTTTGATAAATTAGAAAACTCAAGAACACATCCATAATTTCCTTAAGATTGAATTTCCTTGGTGTTGTTACTCATTTCCTTTCTCATAAGGTCATGCTTGACTTGTCTTTGACTTCTTCAACTCCAGGCATCAATTAGATACACTGAGTCACCCGTTCCTGGAAACCTCAGACCTTGGTGTCACCAGGAACTACTACATCCCAGAACATTTTTAATTCCATTGACACTCTGAAGCTGACCACCATCCTACTTCCTCAGTTCTTTCCCTCTTCCACATCCCTTTGTCTAATTCAATTAGACCTCAATCCTTTTAATCCTCCACTTACTGACAATCACTACACCCCAAGATCTTTTTCTTTCCTTGTGCCCCCCAAGCATTATTGCCCAGCATCCCCAATCCTTTTCCTAAAACCCATCCTCAGAGACTCTATATCTGCAACCATCCAGCTGTTTGCACTTCTCCTTATGCAGGCTGCTGGGCCTGCTGGAGACAACCTAAGCACCACATGGACGGTAGCCAACGCACGCAGTGTGAATCCTTCGACTGCCCTGATCTTCCTTCCCATCCTGAGTAGAATCTCAAGTCCTTATTGAGAGCTCACTTAAGGTTCCTCCTGGTGTGGCCCCACTAGCTCTTGAATCAGGTCTTCTACTTTACCGTCCTCCAGTTCTCGACATCCAGTTACCTGGCTTCTTGATGAATTTTGTCCACATTAAATGTGTTCCCACCACTGGATGCTTGCACTTGTGAGTCAGTCTCTCAAATTGCTTTCTTCAGACACCACAGGGACAGCTACCCTCACATCTTTCAATCTTCCCTCCAAAGTTACCTCAAAAGAGCCTTCCCTGGCCAGGTTCTTTAAAATTTCAACTTCTTACTATTTCTTATCTGCATTTTCCTTTTTACTGTTCTTCCTTAGAAAATAATAAATTATCATTAGCTACTGTACTGCATGTTTATGGTGTTTACTATATCTCTCTTTACTAAAATGCTCTCTGCAAAGGCAGAGACTTTTGCCTATTTTGATCATTTCTTTGCCTGTTTTTTTCTTTTCTGGACCCTCAGCACCCGTACTAGTGCCTGACACTTTGAAAACATTCAATGAATATTTGTGAAATGAACAAATAAATAAATGAACTAATGGATGTGTGTTCTCCAGCTCGACTCACAATGTTGAATTTCATCCCTCTGCAGATCACTCATATCCCCCTTAGCAGCTGTGTCAAACCTTTACTATGAGTTTTGCATTTCACAGTCACCTCCTCTGAGAACAGAAGAACTCCCTCAACTCTCTACTCATGCTAGTGTTGCCAATTAACCACATCTGTGTCATTTTCTTTCCTGATCAGTGAAGAAAGTGTAATTTCTTTTTGTTGTTGTTGTTTTGTTTGTTTGTTTGTTTGTTTGTTGTATTTTAGGGAAGGATCTACAGGGTATTCAGGGGTTAACTACTAGATCAGACTTGTAGTGATCTGACTGTTTACAGGCTCCCAAGAAGTAGGATTACAGGTGTGTGCCACCACACCCAGTCTTAATTGCTGTCTCAGCACACCCTGGGGGCAGGGCCGGCACAGCAGGCCTGGGTTTCAAACCCCTGGCCCCTGCACCTGCTTGCAGGTGCTTTAATCCATGGAGCTATTTGGCGGGCCTGAAAGTGTAGTTCTTTAACCCCAGGCTGACCTCATCATTTCTAGCCCAAAGCTAATCTTATCATTACCACCTCCACCTCCTTCGTTCCAGGAAGTACTTACAATTTCTTAAATGTCTAAAATTCCTCCCTTTCCACCCACCTTCATATCAGAACTCATCTAGAGCCTCCCTTCTGTCTTCCAAATTATACCTCTTCATACCAAAGAGTGATTGGTTGGCAACTGTCTTGTATGAGAATTTGAACCAAACTAAAGAGAAATGCCTCATAACTACATTGTAGGTTTCTACTATTCACCTGTAGGAAGAATTTGTGGTTTGGGGATCTTGTGCCCATGAAATCACAGATATTATCCAATATTTCCCCTGCCCATGAGGCCAAGAGTTCTGTGGTATTCCTAGATGCAATGGGAGATTTAGCCATAATCCAAAAAGGACATTTCAAAAAGTTTTAGCATCACATTTAGTAGTAAGAGAAGAAGAATGGTTTGTGTGCACCCTTTTATAATAAATATAATGTGCACACAAATATTTTTTGCCTTTACAAAAATATTGTAGAATTATTCTAGAAAAGATGCTGCATTATTGAAATTGTCACTTACCTTGTTTTTTTATCATTGTCATCTGTGAGATAAAAGCAATGCATAAAAGAAATTAGTATTAATGATAAAATATAACGTACTTATTAATAACATTGCTCTGAAAATTTCTATAGAGTACTTTTATTTATGGAGTGTTGCTAGTTAATTGTTTGTCTTTCCTCTTTTAGGGTTTTCTTGTTCCCTATGTGTACGTTCAACATATATTACAGAAAATATAGTTTTCAATCCCAGGACTGTGGCCTTCACTACATTTCCAGACTTTTCTCCAAAATATTTGTATCCTATAGATATCAAAAGGAGACCAACATTTCTAAATTGTCTAATGAAAATATGCATTCCTTTATCTATTTAATAGTTCACAAATTAGCTGGGCAATGTCATTAACACTTCAGTGGAAGGTAAAGGCGTGAGCTGACGTCACTTTGTTTCCTCCAGTACAGGTCAGAGCAGATGTAGCACAGGAGGCAAGAGTGGGCCTCCAGGGGCACAGGGGCGGGAAAGCACAGGGAAATGGGCCCTGAAGTATTTTGCTTTCCACGACCATGGATGCCTCATCCTGGTTCCCCTAATATTTTAGCAAATGGAAATAAGAATGAGACAGAACTCAATTAGAATTATGGCTCCATTAATTATCGCTCATGTGACCTTTCCCAAGTTTTACAAAAGTTATCCAAGTCTCAGTTTCTTCATCTGTAAAATGCTGAGCCACAAGATTTAAAAATAAAATGGTAGCTTAGAATCTCACACATCTGCAACATGCCAAACCCAAGCGCCACAGGGCCCTTCCACACGATGCGTTCTGACCTGCAGAGGCCTGGCACGGCTCTGCCCAAGCTGCCGCGCTCACTTAATGAGCGCCCTGGCATTGCTGTGCTCAGTAACAACACCGGGAGAAAATCGGTAATAACAGCCAGCGCGGGGACAACCCTACTCTTCCTAGGAAGGGGACTTGTGAGAGTTTCTTCCTGTCATCTACACTTTGTGTGTTCTCTCACCTACATCTTTGATTCAGAACAGCATGTGGATTGTGGAGAGAGTCACGCGGTTGCGTGTTGAACGCATGCCCAGTAAGGTCCTACGTGTCACTGCTGATTTTTCTCTGCTCCTTGAAATTCCAAAAACTTGTCCTACTTTTGTGTTTGTCTCTCTTTGTACAAGAAGCATTAAGAAAAAAGGTCACATACTTGATCTGTCAGATTCAAAAGCGTAATTCTCCTCTCCAAATTTCTTCACACTGCGAAGAATTACTGAGTCCGACATGGTAATTACAATCTGTAGTCAACAGCCCTACAAAATAAAATAAAATATTTATTGCAGTTATTGCCTTTTTTCTTCTTTTTAACCAAAGCAGCCAAATAAAAGAACAATTCGGTTCAAGAAATGTTTTACTAATCATTCTCAAGCAAAAGTAGGTTTTAATAGGCTAGTAACTCAAAGAAAGAGCCTAATTATTAGGAAAGATAAACAGAAACCATTAGCGATGGCCTTCTCTAGTTTGTAGATGGACAAAGGCTATATATTCATTTGATCGTTCTGCTTATTTGTGCTTATTTATTTTTAATGACTTTGTACAAAACCCATAAGAAGCGCAAACCAAATGGTGACATTTTCGCATCCAGGAAGTTGACGAATGAATGCCATTTACATGCTGCTGAGTAACATCTGGTGCACCTTTGGAAACACAGCCCAACCTAAGACGGGCTCCCTAGGACCAAGGAAGCAGATGAAGAGCAGGTTCCAAGTAAAATATTAATATCTGCCGGACAATGGCTACTATATTCACAGAGGAAAATAATCTCTAAAGGAAAAACTTCAGGGTAATTCTAGAACTTTAGAGTTAGCATAGATATTCTGCTTTACTAACTTTCTATGCTTTGAATAAACAGCAATGAGAGATAACAGTCTCTGTTCTTCTTTTTAGGAAAAAATGCAATCAGACCTAAATCAATAAAACTAAATGTGTCTTGAAGCAGACATGGAAGAGAAGTATTAGGGCAAGCAGAGCCCAGAAGAAGCTGCTGTTTTTACCTCAAGTATAGGGATGTGAGACTTTAGACCTGCAAGGACTGAGTGCCCCACACTAGGTGGGGACAGGGAACCCCTCAATCCTTCTCAGAGGCTACGAGGAAAAGCTCCTGATTTCACCTACGTGGAATCGCAAAAGAGGAACATAGAGAATGATAAAGATATAATAACTAAAAAAATAATTGCTAGGAGTTTTCAACCTGATTCCTCAAATTAACAGTAAACTCTTGGGCCAGGGAGATAGCCCAGTAGAATAAGTGCTTGCCTGGCAAGTGAAGGGCCTGAGTTCAATCTCCAGTTCGGGGGAAAAAAAAAAAAAAAAAAAACAGTAAACCCCAAGACTTATCAGGATAAAGAAAACTCATTCAAAACCAGAGGCTGGGGAGACAGCTAAGCAGCATAAGTGCCTTCCTGGCATATTCAAGGTCCCAAGTTCAACCCCCACTACCACAAAAAACAAACAAACAAACAAAAAAACCAACAAAACATATATACATTATATTGAAATATTAAAGAATCAAGAATAGGGCCAGCCAGATAGTTAGCAGACTAAAGCACCTGCTTAGGCAGGCTAAAGGACCAGGGTTTGATCCCTGGTATGCCGTGCCAGCCCCAGCCTTAGCCCCAGGGTGCACTGAGAGGTGACAGACTGGAAGTGGTGGCACACACCTGTAATCCCAACACTTGGAAGACTGAGTTGGGAGGATCATTTTGAGTTTGAGACCAGCCTAGACTACAAAGTGAGCTCAAGGCCAGCCTAAACTGCATAGCAAGACCTGTCTCAAAAAGAAAAAAA